GTTGTGTCGCTCTCACCGCAGGACTGTGCAGATAAAAAATTTGCCGCATTTGCAAGTTCCATTGGATTGCTTACTAGTTTTGGCCGTTCGCTTGCTGCCTTTAGCTGGATCTCTGTTGGCAACTTAGCTCGAAACTTTAACCAGCTATCCAGCAGAACTTGCGTTATGCCCTCGGAGAGCAATATTACATTCATTAGTCTTGGACCGCAGCCGTTGTAGTTAGGGGATGACGGAACTCTTGTCAGGGATTTGCCAGGAACCTTGTCAACAGAGAGTGCTTCGCGGATGGAGCATCACTGCTCTCGGTCATGTGTTTGCGCGTCGTGAGCAGAAGAATGGAGAAGCTCGGGAACACCATGAACAAATATTGTATTCGTGCTATCCCTATTAGGAATGTCGCGTTGGTCAACTGCTTCTTATGGGCGATCTTTCCAAGGTATATGGGGTAATATACGCACTCCGTTCCGTGAGTTGCGAAGACGCACTGCTGAGAGCAGGACAGCCTCTGTCTCATCTGCTGAGTCTAATATTGCTCGAAGTAATCAAGCTTCAACAGAGTGCACTGAGGTCGGATGACTCGCTACGCATTGCAACATTGCAGGCTCAACCCGCATAGCAATCGCTTCGCAAAAGGAACTCCACTGGTTGCGATCCTTTTGCAACTTGCCTTTTATTGTGCTAGATTTGGACTCGGGAACATTGGTGCCCACGAAAGTTGATGCAGCGTGGTTTGGTTTAGCGATTGTCAGCTTTACAGTTTTTGCTAGCAATTTGACTTATTTAAAAGACACCACTGGAGTTGACGGTGAAAGCTGCTTTGCGCCACGCGTGCTCGGTCCGAAAAATGGACCTAGGTGTGTCGCTCCCGGTGAGTTTGTTGAGGCAGTCCATGCGTACGTTACCTGCTTGTAAACTACACCGGATTGCCTTCTGCTCTGAGCTGTCGGTGTCATCTCTGAATCGTTAGTTGCAGCGGCTATGGTTGGAGAAGGGGAAGCAGTCAAGTTTGAGGCTTGTCCACTTATAGGCGTGAGGTGACTCTGTGGATTTAGGGTCACAGAAGCTGCAGTGCGTTTGGAGCCTCTAGCTCTCTTCTTCGGCTTAGATTCTTAGCTTACTTTGGCTAGGTGAGGTATTATCGTGGACATATTTATCTCCGTCGAATCGATCTTAGTATTTACAAAATGCGCAATTATCTCAGTCATCCTATCGCACTTTTTCATGAGCAAAGATAAAGAGTTGACAATTGGAATGACTTGACATTTTGGGAAAAATCAAATTGTGTCAAAAACTTTGTTTGTCTGTCTCACTTCTTGGACGGATTTGCCTACAAATTGCGGACGGTATGATCTAATGCAGCTTGAGCAAGTGCACTGATTTTAAGGACTTTACTGGCATTATTTGCACAACATAGGGGACGCCGAACCATTGCAATGTTATCCGTTCTCTTAGCGTTTGCAGCAAGGCTTATCTGAGTGCTCACACTGATGAGCGTTCTTTGCACCAAGCGTGACGCACAAACACATCAAAACACGCACACCAACTGAGAGTTGGTCAACCGCACCAAGGTCAGGCGGTAGAGGCAAATGGAGCTCGTAACGCGCACACTATCGGGTTCAGCAATCAATTGACTCGTATTTGAACACACGCCCACACAAAGCGGCAGCGTGTATTGCTCGGCCTACCTTAAGCGACGATACATGTGGAGCGTTAATAAGCGTCCCTAGAGCTGTTCAGTTGATGAGCGAAGCAAAAAGACTGTAACTTTGTTATGCTGCAACTTGCAGGGGTGGTTGCCGCGTAGTTTGGGAGCCCTCAGCTTCTTCTTCCAAATGAGACCAAAAGCTTTTCCGAAAAATTCAGGTACGATGTGGTTACACACGTAGAACTCGGCAGAAAATATAAGGAACATTGGGACCTGGAGCTAGAGTATAATCCACACAGGTTAGATACAAGAGTTGGGAAGCACTGATTAGAGCTCAAGGAACTGGCGCGAACGAGCGCACACACAATATCGTGTGAGGAGAATTAGAGTGGCCACAGAGGGCAAAGCGAGAGCCGAGTTAAAGCGCACCCGCACGGTATATGCTCCACTCAGCCCTAGACTAGTAGATATCTTCATGTCATTTTTCTAATAACGTTGTGGACTATACCTTGACCAGATGTACCTGCACAAGCGGTACGCTGACGACATGCTGGTGATCGTTCCAAACATCTAATCCACTAAACCACTGCTCGACGCGATGAACAACGCACACCCAAATGCTCAGTTTACATGTGAACTAGTGAATAACAACTGCCTTGCCTATTTGGATGTGCTATTGACAGTAATTACTGATGGCTCAATACGGAGATCTGTCTACCGAAAAGCCACTTGTACTGGACTATGCGAACATTTCAGTAGCTTCACACCTGTCCAGTATAAACGCTGCCTCGTTAAAACCCTGTTCCAAGGAGCTCGTAATATATGCAGCTCCAATTATTTGGAGTCTGAATTGCAATTTATCACGCAGACGCTGCGGGCAAATGGCTACCCTGCAGACTTTAGCACGTTCAACGGAGGCCAGGTGGAAGAGAACAAACAGAAGCCGCCCGCCGTGTTAAAAGTGCCACAGTAATTCGACGAACATTCCATGCTGCCAAACAGTTCCCACTTTGGACAACTAGGAATTTACCAACGCCTCCGGTCAAGCTTCCCAACCGATCTCCACCACAACACATTGAATTTACCACTTTGTCTCTGGCTGTGGAGGCAATTGTATTGTCAGGACTGATCGCTATCTGCGTAAGCGGCTCGGAGCACACATTCTGAAACGGGTTGATGTCGTTACAAGAGGTCAAACACGAGGACAGGTGTTAAGCTTCAAAATGCCGACCTCATCGATTGCTAAGCACTTACGGAGCACAGGCCATCAAGTTGACCCGGACTTGGCGTTTGCAGTGATTTACCGCAATGTAAATGCTAGAATACTCTGTGTACAAAAACAGTTGACCGTCACACTGAGGCTTCCGAGGGGACTATGATGCTTGTTTCATCAATTCTGATGCTGTTGTAGCAGTTGACGTTCTGTGCCTACTTCTTCTTTCTGTCAGCATTCAAGTTATTGCTTCTTTCCCTAAATGATCATCTAGTATGTTTGTTGTTTGCATGTGGTCAGAGAGCACGAAATGATCTCATCTTGCAACATCCGTCTCCTTAAGTTATTGCTTCAAATGATAAGATGAACGCATTGGATCAAAATTTTGATTTTGTTTAACAAGCGGAAGACCTGAATGTGAGGGAAACTTGTTGCTCTCTTTCGACATAGAAGCACTCTTTACGAATGACTTTTGCGGGAATATATTAACTTCATTTGTGAATACCTAACCAAACACAACGTTGTCGTCGTTAACCATGTCCAACCTGTAAAGGAACTATTTCTTCTTTGCACCTTTAACTGAAAATGCTTGTTCGATGTAAAATACTACCGAGCAATCGACGACACGGCAAGTGTCCCATTTATGACAACTTCTTGCCGAATTTTTATTCCGCAAATTTTATGCACGTTCCTAGTAGGAACCTTATCGCATCTAATAATTTCTATCAATGATACATGGAAGACACTTTCATCGTATACGAATCACAGCCTGATCACCTTCACCTACTTGACCAGTTCAACCGTGTGCATCTATCGTTAAAATTCACTTGTGAAATAGAGTCATCATCATCATTAGTATACACGTTAGCCAAAGATGTAAAGCACAGCTACTGTGCCGCATGCATTAAAGAAAAATCATAAATACAACATTTGCATGCTAGCTGAGCTACCTGCAACGGATGGGCATCGTTCCGTAAAGCTACAAGCCGGCTACTAGGCAACAATACAAATAAGGACGTAAAATTATAATACGCTACAAAATGAGATCATGGTTGGAAGGCGAGGCAAAAAGGCATGGGTAGAGACTTAGAAACTTACAGCAGGAACGCTACTAAGGTCGGCTCCTAGCCATGTCAGCAAGTGTACCTAGTCAAACGTGTTCAGCGTCTTTTGCTCCCTAACCAGGGAGCCGTGAAGCTCCAACCGAGGCCAGCTCCGAAGTGAGGGCCTTCATACCTCTCGAGCAAGTCATCGCTTGGCCAACCCTCCTTTACTTCCATCCACATCCCCGGTGAGCAAACAACGCACGCCGAGGAAGTCGGTAAGTTCGCATGCGCAACACTTGGCCCAGCCATTGGAGGCTAGTGCGTGAAATGACGGTGTTGAGTGGTTCAGTTCCTTTTTCTGTGCCGTAAACAAGGTGTCCAGCACACTTGTTACTCACGCGGTGCTCCCACCAGTTGTGAGCCAAACTGGGAAGGCACGGCGGTCGAACGTAACTATCCTCCTCATGTCCGTCGATCTTGGGCGCCAGGTTTCGCAATCGTACAGTAAGGTCAAACGTACCGCTGCATTGCACACTCTAAACTTCGGAGCGAGATCAATGTCCCCATGGAGCGAGAGGTGGAGAAGACTAGCAAAAGCACTTCGAGCTTTTGCTATACGGTTCGTGATCTCCTCTTCGATCCCAAGGGCGCTGCCACCACTTTCCAGGTAGTTGAATTGTTGAACGACTTCTAGCTGGTTGCCAGCAAGGGTCAGCTCAGGATGCGATCCCTGTTAATCTTGGAGGAAAGCTTTGCACTTCGATGGTGCAAAGTAAAGCCCGAAGCGGCTGACAACCAGTGCTTATCTGACCAGTGCAGCTTGGCACGTCTGGGAGCTGTCACAGATGAGAGTAATGTCGTCTGCATACTCCAAGTCAAGAAGTCGTTCTCCTGAGAGTAGCTCCACACCCTCTAACTCGCGTCCTGTAAATGCAATCGCCATGACTTTCAATAGCGAAATTGAAGAGGGAAGGTGAAAGCGGGCATCATTGTCTCACACCGCTGGAGATATTGAAGGGCGGCGACAGTTTGCCGTAAGCCCTCACTCTGCCCGTGCTACGCGCGTATAATGCTCGGATAATATTTACATATTTCTCTAGCACACCTTTCTGAGTAGACAATTCCAAAGGGCACATCGATCAGCCGAATCGAAGGCACCTTTGATGTCGAGGAACACGAGTACGGTGGGTCGCCAATATGTGTGACGGTGCTCCAACAACTGACGCAAGGTGAAGATGTGGTCGATGCAGCCACGACCCCGACGAAACCCGGCTTGCTCCTCACGAATCTGGCTTTCACGAGCGTCAGTCAGTCTGTGAAGGATTACAGAGGCAAGTAATTTGGAGGCGATGGGGATCAGACTGATTCCTCTATGGTTGCCGCATTCCGAACGCGAGCCTCCTTTGAAGATGGGAACAATAACGGAGCGGCTCCAGTCGGTTGGGACAGTTTCCTGCTCCCACAGTTTCACTAGTAATTCATGTAAATCATCAACAAGAGCAGAGCCCCCGAATTTGAAGAGGGCTGGATGAAGATCATCTGGTCCCGCGGCTTTGTTCAACTTCAACAGTCCGATCTCACGTTTGACTTCTGAGCGAGAGGGCGGATCCAAAGGGACAGCCCACGGAGCAGGGCGATCACTGGCCGGTGAGAAAACTGACAATTCCGGCCGATTAAATTGCTTTTCAAAATGCTCAGCCCAACGCTCCAAACATTTTGACAAATTGTGGATAGGCTGTCCACTCTCGTCATAAATTGTTTCACTAACACCAGGTCTCCTGCTGCCCGTTTCCCGTATCAGACGGAATAACTTTCGATGGTTACCAAGGGCAGCGGCCACTTCCATCTCTGACGCACGAAGAGACCACCAAGATTCGCGGTCTCTCTTCAGGCTAGCACAGAGTTTTGCCCGGAGCTCTTTGCGAGTTTCATTGTGTTCGCTTCCAGCCGGAATATGCCGGCGAGCATCGATAAGTTCCAGAGACCGCGAAGAGACCCAATGTCCATGTTGGCTATTAGACTTACCACATGAGGATTTGCCTGCTGCTAGTAAGGTCTGGTGAACATGCGACCAGTGACCTTCAATTGTCTCCAGTGAGCGCTTACTCAACTCGCATGTCAGCGTACTTTGATAGGCATTCAGTACAGCTGGCTTCGTCAGTTGGCTGGTGTCAATGCGCTCACAGCGTCGTCCTGGGCGTCCGCCAATTCTCGTCAGCAGGTCAGCACATACAAGTGCATGGTCTGTGTCCACATATGTGCTCCAAATCGAGCGACAGTTCTGGATGCAACCTCTCCAGCGGTAACTGAGTACAATGTGATCGATTTGCTTCCAAGGCTGGTTCTAGGTTGGTGGGCGCCAAGTCACCTTCCGGCGAGTGTTGTGGCGGAAGTTACTGCTCGTAAGAAATAAGCGGGCATCTTCACTCAAATGAAGTAACCGCTCACCGTTATCATTACAGGAGCCTACACCGTGCTGACCGCCCGAATGCATTTCATCAGTGGACTACTTTCCATCTTGTGCTTTCAGATCCCCGCCAGCACAACAGTGTCCGAGCTTCTTCTGTGAAGAAGGATCTCGGTCAGTTGGCAGTAGAAGTCGTTTTTTAAGAAACATCGCTACAGTTTGTGGGCGAGTAAGCAGTAATGATGAATGGACACCTATTAGTCCCGCGCGACTTCGAAGCATTGAAGGAACCAGCCAATCGGACTACCCACATCCGGTTACTGACTGGGATCCAAGCTACCAGAGCAGCTACAGCCCGGGGACTCAGACCAATACCAACACCGGCTTGGCCGGTGCTCGGAGCTGCATCATCATCGGAAAGGCGCAATGAGAAAGTGTTGTTGGTGTCACCTGAATGGGATGGCAGAGTGAGCACAGAGCTCGAGTCTTGCAGGCGGGTCTCCGATAAGCAGCAGATATCGATCGAGAGGGTCTCTAATGTTCGGAAAAGTGCTGCCTGTTGACCGATCTGCACTAATGTGCGTACGTTGAGGCATGCCAACCTGAAGGATGGTCGAGGTTTCCAACTGAAGCCGATGAACTGGGGTGGACTGCTTGGTTGGACATGAGCCTATCGACAGGAAAGGAGTGACTCTCTGCGTTTGCACGTGAATTGAAACTAGAAGAGTTGGGGGGCTAAAACAAGGGAGATAAAACTGAAGTTTGGATGGGACCACGAGGGAGAACAAGCGTAAGCGGAGGAATAAGAAGACGGGAAGTCTTGATCAGTAGCATCCAAACCCCTATCTGCCCTGCTCGATGCAGCAGAGAGAACACCATTGATTATCCTCTGCGGTGGACAGCGTATCAAAAGGTTGTTAGAAAGAAATGTCATGGTGTATTGCGTGGAAAGGATATTGTCAGGTAGCGCAGACCTAGACAGAAGCACGATTAGGGTTCTCAACCAAAGGCTTTAAATCAAAGAGCTGACCGCAATGCATCGGCTTTGGCGTTGGGCTTTAAGAAGTCCGTTTTAAAGAATAAGGAGCCATCCTCGTTCCAATCCCTAGGTTGGAGAGCCAGCACGCAGAGTTTGTCTGGCCTCTAACTATTGATCAATCTGGTATGAGTGGCTCTGAAGGTACAAAAAAGCACCACCCAGCATAGCTCCATGGATCACTGAGGCACACAAACCATCGCGCCACCGTAAGGTCCAGCCCCATTGCGATGGTGTGAAATAGAGAACGACGGATAAATCTCCTTTGTGGATATGTTACTGCAGCGGCAAGTTGCCGGATTGCTTGAGAGAAGAGTATTCCGCAAGTTTACGTGTGTAAGCCAGTACACGTATTTCTTTCGTTTTGTGCCCATGAAATACAGGAGAAACCTTATATGCTGTCCTTTCTATCGTGACGCAAAAACCTGCAGTCCAGAAACATTGGCTGCTGATAAGTATTTAATTCTCTCAAACCTACAAAACAATGGCTATCCCACGACATTTATCCACAAACGTTCTGCTGTTTCTGATCAACCTAAAGAAATACCAACGGTAAAGAAAAAGGACGTCTTTATTTCGGTTCCCTTCAAAGGAGATATAGTCTAGGAGTTACTGAACAAAAGCTTGTCCGTCGTTGCGAACCAAACATAACCGGCTGCAAGAGTCCATCTTCTTGCCGAGACTGTTCCGTTTATCGCTAAGAACCTGGAAGACAGACCCTCGGCTCTTCGCTGTTTTTTCGTTGTATATCAGTTCACCTGCGCCTGTAGTGTCAGATACCTCGGACACACGACCAGGCGTCCGTCTAAGAGGATAGCGGAACACTGTCGAGCCTCTTTACGGCACGGCACCGTTAAGAATACCCATGGCTCCGTCTTTGAACACCTGATTTGTGCGACGCATCACGCTCGGACCGAGGACGCTTTCGAAGTTATTTACGTCATAGCCAAACTCAACGCGAAAGGACTTAGGAATCATCTGTTGGCTTGTTCTGAAACAATAGCTATCACGCTGCTGCAGCCGGAGTTATGCATGCAGATGACGCTTGTAAAAACGCTGACGCTGCCTTGGCCGGAATGATTGACGCTGTCCGTCCCTATCTTTGCCCAGGACTAACTGTGAGCTCTGACGCTAAACCAACCGTTGCTTTCTTCTTATGTTTACCTTTCAGTGTTTGGGGTGTGAAAGCGCGTTCCGTTTACCACCTGATTGCATTGACTGATCTATCGATTGGCTTGTTGACCTTCCGTTGAACTGTGACATAACCACTCACTACTGGAGCTTTAGATAGCTTATCGTGATATATCAATTTTTCTAATAAGGATAAATGTCTGAGCAGAAGTAGCGAAAAGAGATCTCTTCGCAGCAAATCCTCTTCTTCTATTGTGTGAGGTGGCATAATACACGAATTAAAGAAAAGCAAGCAGCCCGCGGCGTTCTCGAACGTTAACAAGTTTTTGAAATTCAGCGCCAAGCTTGCAAATGCGAAGACCCCGATTCGATTCATAAAGAATGACATACAACGCAATCAGTATCTTAAAAGGTGTTGGAAATCACTTAGACGTTGTCATGTACTTCCGACGGAAAAGTCGCTGAAACGGCACGCGTTCAACATTCTGGAAGCCATTCATTCACCAGTTCCCGAGTAAGAACGACTTTGTGCGCATTATCAACTTTCTCTGGATGAATTCGACAACGCCGAACCCTCCTCTTTTGAAAGCCACATGCACGGTGTAACATAGTTGAGGAGAGGCTGTGCACGATGCTGCTGAAAAGCCTGGAGCCAAACGTGCCTGAATTGAGATTTCCACAATCTCAAGAACGGTGCGTTCACAACCTTGATCACGTGCATTTGAGGAACTACCAAATGCAATCTCTCACTGAGACCGAAATTCTGTTTGTCTTGATCAAACAGTGGACAGATTAATGTAAAAAAGTAATTCAAAAGTTTAATGCAACGGCGAAATGATTTGACACCTACTTCTTCCCTCGCAAACGCATCTTTCATGAGCACTCAGGTGCACCTTCCGCATCAGTACTTGAATGACAAGCTGCAACTCTCAAAACTGATTACTACTAAACACCAAAAAGCCGTAAAAGAACTGACATCTCTTCCCGAAGTTTTGTTCTGTCGGTCAGACAAAGTAACGTGTTGGAAATTAATGAACAATTCAAACTATATGTTGAAGATGCACGTCAGTTTGCAGGATACGACCAAATTAATACTTGACCCGATACAAAAAGATAGCACCAGAAATGATGAAACTAAACTCACAAAGTTGCTGAAACATCTCAAGCGCGACAGCTATCTTGAAGGCTGCTTGCTCGAGCGTCTAATTCCATGCGGCTTACACCCACCCCGCCTCTACGGGCTACCAAAAGAGTACAAGCCTAACATACTGTTGTGAACGTTTCTTCTTGTATCTTCTCTCTGCCACTCCCAGCCGTGTCAAGGGAAGGAACGCACACAGACTCTGCACACAAGCCTTATATTTACAAGTACGTAGAAAAGTACGACTAGCTGGGATTTCAAAAACGCACTGGCCTACTCGATTGATAGCCTGATGGACGGCACTGATGCAGACGCATCCCATATTCAGCTCCGCTTACGTCTTTATCACCTCTCCTACAAATTGTTTGCTTCTACCTATCTTCCACACCTAGGCTTGATCATAACTTTTACCCTGGGGCTCACTTGTAGCCATCACGGTTGCCTTCGTCTTTCACTTAGCCTGCATGACAGTCGTGTGGCGCCAAGCGACCGGCTGTGTTCAGTTTTGGGGATCAACTTGAAGTCAAGGTGGTCGTCTCCGCTTTCGGGTTGGCCCGCATTGTGCGTCATCTGCTGATTGCATAGTATGTTGTGATCCACACAGCCGCTCAGCTTCGTCTTTCAAACAAAACGTGTATAGCAGGATGACGTATGGTAGGGATGGCGGTTCTGGGAGACTTAGTGTCTTACCGCGATTCAGCCTCAGCTGATCGGTGTGTCTGACCCATTTCTCCTTCCCTACCATTAGCTCGTAGATGACCCAACAGTTTCTGTGCACCACTCTTCCTGTCTACCACTTCGGTCCTCGGAATTCTCTTGCGCACACCATGTTCCCAAGTTTGAAATGACTCATGCTGTCTGTCCACTTATCGCCGGCATGACAACTGCAATGCTTTCCTTTCCTGCTTGGCACAGGTCGCTTTGCTCTGGCTACTGGTTTAGTGACTGATTTGAGGTCCAGGACAGCCCTGGTGATTCTGCAACATGCTTGACCAGGTTGTAGCATTGCTTCGTGGCGTCTATTCATCTACGTAATCTGACTGCAATTGCTTTCTACCGTCGCATCCTCAGGTCTGATAGGCACATCTAATTTTGAAGTGGCAGTGTGGCAGAAGTGTTGCTCTACCTTGG